GCCGGAGCAGCGCACGAAAGGGGCGTTGTGATGCATCCCTCCTTCATCGCGTTTTAGCAGGCTGCCCGGGAAAGGAAAATGTAGCGATGTTAGTCATAGTGCAAAAGGATGATTTTCTTAGCTGTGTTACCTATAGCCTCTTAATCGAGTTAAATAGGTTGTAGCCATGTTTGAGAAAAACAGACTACAACCGTGTGTTCTGACATCTGTGATGTTCAGGTAATCCTCTTACACACAGCTTTCACTGCTACTTTTAGTAATATTATGAGGTAGTTAACAAAAAACAGGCCTATTTCTAATTATGTGATACTTTAAAAAAATTGTTATTTTTATTAACCTTGACTGTTGGGCTAAATGTTACCTGGTAGTATCGTCTTGAAGCCATGAAAAAGTTTATGTAAGGTTTTACTCTGGTAATTGGAAATTTCTTATTACTGGAGATGAATATTGTAAGAAACAAAGAGTGTTGGGCACAGCTTCTCATGTAGATGTTTAGATGAGTCAACCAGGGATGATGCTGTCCTGAATCTGCTTCTCATAAACAGGGAAGTCAAGGATGTGGTAATCATTAGTAGCCATGGCTGTAACAGCCATAAAATGGTGGAATTCAAGACCCTGCATGTATGGAGGAACACAAGCAGCAGAGTACAAAACCTGGACTCCAGTTTATTCAGGCAACAGGTAGCTGAGATTTTGAGGGAGGCAACTTTGAAAGTTGGAGGAGCTGAAGAAGTGGAGGTCTGTAAGGACATCATACAAGCACAGGGATGTTCCCTCCTGACGCTCATGAAAACAAGTAAACATGTTGAGGGGTGGGCATAGCTATGCCTGCACTCGGAAGGTGGGGCGCAAAAAGAACATATTCAGGAGGTGAAAGCAAGGACAGGCTATAAAGGAGAAGGATAAAAAACATTGTCTGGACAAGCAGGTATGATGCTAGGAAAGTCAAAGTTCTAATGTTGAAACTGGCAAGGAATATCTAGGGTGACAAGAAAAACTTTTACTGCTACATTAGTGGTAAGGGGAGGAAGGGGGAGTGTGAACCTGCTGCTAAATGGGGCAGGTGATTTAGGAAGAGCAGATAGAGATAATGCTGAAGTACTCAGCCTTCTTACATGGGTCTTCAGAACTGATGTCCCCTAGGCTTTGTGTCTGAGAGACAGGGTTCAAGGAGAGGAACAACCAGTAATGGAAAAGTGTCAAGTTAGGAATCTCTTGAGAAATCTCAACGCATACAGGTCCATAGGACTCTCTTGGGGTAAATCCTGAGCTGTCTGATATTGTGAGGTTCCTCTCTTGCCATCTTTGAGAGGTTGTGGAGGTCCCCTATAGCTTAGTCAGCCTTACTTCTGTCCCTTGGAAAATCATGAAGCAAATGCTCTTGGAACCTATTTCTAGATGCATGAAGGAGAAGGCGATTGGGAATAGCCCACACGACTGTACTTGCAAACTGATTACCTTTGCTGATGAAATGACTGGATCAGTAGATCCAAAGCCTTGGATGTTATCTACATTAGCTTCAGCAGATGCAGCATCTTCTTTGTTGAGTTGCGATGTTACAGATTGTGAACTACTAGATAGCTGAGTAACAAAAACCTGGCTGGATCATCAGGCTTAAAGAGCAGTGGTTAGTAGTTCATGCTTTACCTGCAAGTGGATTAGAAGTGGAGTTCCTCAGGGGTCTGTCCTTGTACCTTCACTTGTACCTTGTACCTTCACTTGTACCTTGCACCTTCACTACAAGAAGAATATTGAGTTGCTGGAGTGTGTCCAAAGAAGGGCAATGAAGCTGGTGAGGGGTCTGGAGAACAAGTCTTACAAGGAGTGGCTGAGGGAACTGGGGTTGTTCAGTCTGGAGGAGGCTGAGGGGAGGCCTCATCGCTCTCTACAACTACCTGAAAGGGGGTTGTGGCAACGAGGGTGTTGGTCTCTTCTCCCAAGTAACTAGTGATAGGATGAGAGTTGCGCCAGGGGAGGTTTAGACTGGGTATTAGAAAAAATTTCTTTCGAGAGAGAGTGGTCAAACATTGGAACAGGCTGCCCAGGGAGGTGGTGGAGTCACCATCACTGGAAGTGTTCAAAAAATGTATGGATGTCGCACTTCAGGACATGGTTTAGTGGGCATGGTCATGTTGTGTTGATGGTTGGACTGGATGATCTTAAAGGTCTTTTCCAACCTTAATGATTCTGTGACCTGTCCTGTTGATAGGAAGAGGATGTGGTATGTAGCCTCATGATGTGCCATAGACAGGTAGGAATAGGCTGGAGGAATGGCTCATCAGGTACCTTAAAATTCAGCCAAGGAAGCTGAACATTATAGTGTGAAGTCCTGCACCCAGGCCTGTACACTGCAGTGATACAGGCTGGGGACTGAGTGGCTGGGGGACCACCCTGCTGAAAGGACCTGGAGGTCCTCACCGACAGTGGGCTAAATGTGTACCAGCACTGTGCCCTGGCATTGAGGCATATGAGTCTGTATTAGTAGGAGCATAGCCAGCAAATTGAGGGAAGTGATGATTCTTCTCTGCTTGGCACGTACGAGGCTGCTCTGGAATGCTGTGTCTATTGTAGGCCCACCAGTACAGGAAGGCTGTTGATAAACTGCTGAGGGAGCTTGTTAAACCACAGCAGCCCTTCAGTACTGGCAGGGAAGTTTAACAACAAGCTGGTGCCGGATGCTTCACAGCTGTGCGTGATGGGAGGCTGAAAGGAAATAGCCATGAATTGAAACAAAAGAAACGAGAGGTTGCAGCTTGATGTAAAGTGAAACACTTTAACTGTGAGGACGGGCAAGCAGTGGAATGGGGTGCCCAGAGAGGTGTACCTTCCACCCCTTGAAATTTTCAAGACCCGCTTGAATAAACCCTTTAGGAAGCTGCTCTGATCTAATGGCTGTTCCTGTTTGGAGCTGGAGGTTGGACTTGAGACCTTCTCAAGTCTGTCTTTCCAATTTAGGCTCATCATGTCAGTTTCTTGACCAGAGCAGACTCTGCTGCTAGTCTGGAAGTCTACTGTTAAAGAACTGTAATGCTGTGTAATAGCAGTGTATCTTCTGTATGTGAGCTGTTACATGGAATAGCAGTGGCTTGTATTTGCAGATTTTGTACAGATATCTCTGTTGTGACCATTGACAGAGCGTTCAAGAGTTGTGTGGAGTTTCCTGCTTTCCAAGACAGAGGGAGATGTGCTGAGATTAAGAGGTGGAAATTCTGAAAGGAATTAATGAGCATGTATCCCTTCTGCCCAGTGACACGCCTTCACCGTAGTATCTGTTGAGTTGTCAGCACTCTGATGGCTGTAGCATCTAGAGTTGATTTGGGGATTTCTTCCGGAGAAGCATCCTGTGTAGACAGCATTTTATGTCAGTTGTGGTTTTTTGGTTTTTTTTCCCAGGCACCAATGATCAACCTGAATGTGGATGATGACGTACAGTTTGTGAGAAGTAAGTTGCTGTGTTCCATGTCTGAAGATTATTCTTGAAGTATTTCATGCTTTTTTACATTGCTGAGTACATGCTGTAAACAAATGAGAAATTGTTGTATATCTAATATAGGCAAAACAAGAGGAATGCTGCACACTAAATGAAGTAACAGCTATGAAGCAACATGTTCTTCATAGTTTTTCCTTTTTTAAATCTGCTGCAAGTATACCTTCCCACAGCTGTAAAGGAAATAACTGATGGGAAAAGTGAGTCAGAGAAAACTGGAACATCATGCTGGCAAATGTTGGTTTTCAACTGGTATTAACAAATGTAATAAAAGTAGCTTGAGTAAATCTGCGTTGGTTTTTCATTTTTTCTCACCAGTTGGATAGTCTTGGACCTCTCACAGTAACACAATCCAAAACTGAGTTGTTGAACCTGTCCTTCATGTTAAAGAGTACATGATCTTGCAGCTGTGGAATGGGTGTGATAGACGATGAGTAAAAGTGCATGTCTCATTCGTCCTGGGAAAAATACTGACATTTGAAGTAGAGTGTTTCCTAGGGAAGTTTGCTTGCACAAACACACATGCACACACGTTCTCTTGAAGTGTTAGACTAGAATACTACTCAGTGGCACAGTTTGATCAGATATACCTGCTTTGCTTTGCAGAAGAAAACACACGTAACAGCAGGATTTGACAGTCTTTCATTGACTCTAGCATCAGCTAAGTGCATGTGTACCATATCTTTTTTGTGCTTTAAAAATACATACTTTTTTATGCTTTATGCATATATAAATAACAAGCTAAAGTTAAACAAGCTGTTCATCAGTAACTTTTCGGCTGTTTCTGTGAACATGCTGGTAATGGATACACGTAGCACAGGGATCTCTCTTAAAAACCTGTGGTGTCCTGGTGTCTGTATATCTTTGTTTAATTTATTAATGTAACAATGGCATCACCAATTCTTTTGCCTTGCGGCCAAACAGTACAACCAGAGTTTGTCCATGTATTAAGTTTTCGGACCCCAGAACAGATTGGTCGCATCTAGGCTGAAATAGTCCCTGAAACCAGACTAACTCCTCAACCATGCCTGAATGATATCTGGGAGATGTACTGGTTAATCTGGGCCAAAAGGGTGTGGAAAAAACATTTTAACAGTGTCATGGAGCAGATGACAGAGCTGCAGTTCTCTGGCAGTGCCCTGAGACTATCTGTAGTTAACTGAAGGTTTCATTGGTGTTCATTCAGTTGTCTGATCCTCTACAGGACGTACAGTTACGTGACTGTTAATGTCCATACTGGCAGTCTGAAGTCGTGAATGTTGAAAGCATGAAGATGCATGCTTGCTATAAAGATACAATCACTGCAAACAAATGAAGGTATATATAGTTAATAGACTTTGTATGATGCCATTGGAATGTCAGCATTAATAATGAAGTGTTTTCAGACTTTTCATTGCTACTTCATCACTATTGTTTTTTAAGGAATGCTTCATACTCATGTAGTAGTTTACCCTCAATATTCTATCAAAACTCTACAGGAACTCTGAAAGTCAAAAAGCCTCGATTTGATGCATCCTTGGTTTATTTGACCCGAAAATTCATGGATCTTGTCAAAACAGCTCCAGACGGTGTCCTTGATTTAAATGAAGTAGCAACAACGCTTGGAGTACGAAAACGAAGAGTGTATGACATCACCAATGTGTTGGATGGAATCCACTTAATTCAGAAAAGATCTAAGAATCATATCCAGTGGGTGTGAGTTGACTTTGAAACTTCTAATTTCTGAAACGATAAAACCCAACAATGTTGAGTAATGCGTATAAGTTTGAGAGTACTCTTGAACATATTGAGTTACTCTTAACAGCTAAAAAAATTTTAAGTTCTTCTATATCCTTAGGCTGTCTGAATTGCTTACTATATTAACAAGTATCAAGTGCAAAAGCTCAATGAAGCGTATTTCAGCTGAGTAAAGGATGCCAGAATTCCTTGTTGTATTCTGTTGGAATTCTTTGTGTTCAGTAAACAGGCCCTTATTTATATAAACATACTCGACAACTTTCATATTCTTTTAGAGGTTCTAATCTTGACCAAATTGTCGGAAAAGCACCAGAGCAGCAAAACCTTAAAGATGAACTTTCTGACTTGTCAGCCATGGAAGAAGCTCTGGATGAATTAATCAAGGATTGTGCTCATCAGTTGTTTGAACTAACAGATGACAAAGAAAATGCAAAATATCCTTTTAACTTGTGAGTTTTGTTGCAAGTACTTGGGTAGCTAGTAATAGCTGTAGGCTGATACCACAGGTATGCAGTAATACTTGGTAATGAGTTTTATAATAGGAAACTTATTTTATATAAGTGTATCTTAGTCATGGGTCCCGCTTTACAGTATCATGTGCAATCTAGCCTGTTCTCAGGGGAGTGCTAGTTGTGGGACCTTTCCACTGCAGAAGAATGGAGGTGAGGCAGTAGTCTTAGTACCCTGACCATCACCTTGTTCTCTCCATTGTAGAGTAAAGTTGTCTCAGGGGCAGGTCTTGACCTACCAGTGAGATTGAGTTGCTTAGTGAGATGAGAAAGAGGACCCAAAATGGAGTCCCAGTGGCCTCTTGCCAAGAAGATATGATGGTACGTTGGTTGTGTCCTAATACTGCTCTGTCTCTTGAAACAGGTTCCCATGCAGTCTTGTCTTTCAGATGGGTTTTGATAACAGAAAAGGGATTTCTTTTAATATGACATAAACATTGGATTTTGGCTTTAGGTTACAATAAAATATTACTTAGCTCCCTTGTCTGGCAGAATGGTAAGGTCTGTGCTCAAATGAAATGTGACCATTTTCTGTATGATACCAGGAAAACTTTTCATTACACCTTACCTGTTCTGGTTAAGAAAATAATTCCATAGTTTTCCAGGAAATTGTTTATGTGCATAGTTATTACAAAACAAAGAAGTAGTTTTGCCAGGGCAGTGTTCCCTTTGCTTTGTAGACTTATGACAGCATCTGTGAAAACTGTTTGTCAAATTTGTTTGTGTATTTTAATATTTAATGTCTCAAATTTTTAAAATGCTTTTTCCTTCTTAGAAATAAAGAAAAAATGTTCTCCACTTGTTAGCTAATACTTAATTTTACAAAGCTAGTTTTAAAGTAACCTCAGCTGAACTATTTACCACTCTTCTTACATTGGTATTCTGCTTCAGGATATCTTAACATCATACTCTTTGCTTCTGCGCATTAGCAAATTACTTTTCAGAATCCTTGACCAATGTATACACTAGCTTATGTGACGTATCAGGATATCCGTAGCATTCAGGCATTTCAAGAACAGATTGTGATTGCAATCAAAGCTCCAGAGGAAACCAAATTGGAAATACCAATTCCTAAAGAAGTAAGTTTTATACATTTCTGTCGTAAGGGAACAAAAGTTCTCAAATTTGATTTTTGCAGCAGCAATCAGTAATTGACTTCCAGTTGCTTTGTCATGTATAACAAATATTGGAACTTTATTCTCGTGTTCTACTAAACAATGCGGTAGGGATAATAGCCTAAGAAACTTATTTTCAGTATATGGCCTCAAGTTGCGCCAGGGGACGTTTAGATTGGATATTAGGAAAAATTTCTTCACTGAGAGAGTGGTCAGGCATTGGAACAGGCTGCCCAGGGAGGGGGTAGAGTCGCCATCTCTGAAAGTGTTCAAAAAACGTGTGGATGTGGCACTTCAGGACATGGTTTAGGGGACATGGTGGCGCTGGATTAATGGTTGGACTTGATGATCTTGAAGGTCCTTTCCAACCTTGTGATTCTGTGATATTTTTGTTTACCTAAATTATTAAACAATAAACATGTCTGAGTTTTAGTTATTTGTTTTTTGCTAGAGAGAATGGAACAGCTGTAATAGATGTTACTATTTCCACTGTCGGTTTGTTTGATAAGTACTAGGATAATGAAACTTCAAAAAAGCTGTTATTTTTTGTGTACTAAAATCTAAAAAAATTATAAATCTAACCAATCAAAGCAATAAGTATGATTTGATAATGATCTAACAGTATGTAAATGTCTTAATGAGTAGATAGCAATTATATAGCTATTATATATTACAGTTACTATAACATTAAAGTATGAAATGCACAGTATGGTTGGTAAAAGAAAACATTTTGGCATTCTAGTAGATGATGTCAAGATGGATTTTTTCATGGTGGTGGGGAGCTGTGCCCTGTCCTCACCGCATGGTACAGCACGCACCCTCCCATTCAGGTCATAGAGAAGAGCCATAGCTTTGCCCTCTGCACCCAGTTGCACTGCACCTGGGCCTATATACTGGGAACCCACTGTAGTGCTGTGAAAGAGGAAGTAGTCTTAAGATAACAAATGGAGCTTTAATTCTGTTTTCCTTTTGCATGTACATTTTTTTATAATGTTCTTAATCGTTTATTCATCAAATTTGCCTTGTTCTGTGTGCAGAAAGGGAGGTGATATTGTAGGAAAAGGAGATACAAATCAATAGAATCAGAAAACTTTAGATCCACTGCATAGATCTCCAGTGGTTTCACTGGTAAAAGGAGCTGGCTCTTACCCTGTAGAGATGAAACAGATATGATTTCAGAGGCTTCCTGAAGCAAAAGAAGGCAGGATTTTAAAAGCTGTACTTGAGAGAACGGAATCTTCTCCTGTTGCCCACTGAATTTGATTTGCTCTGTGCCTTGCGATGTGATGTCTGCTAAAGGAAAGCAGTGAAAGTAATATGGTTTAGTTGCTTTGCCATATTATTAAAGCTGCTCTGTGCTCTGATTTGTCTTCTAATCCCATGCATCAACTTGTAAAGTTTTAAATGTTGTTACTCTTCCTGAACATATAGGTTCTAAAGGTCAGTAAAAAGACTAAACAAAGATTAATTAAGTGCATGTTCACTAAAAATGAAACCATGCTATCTTAACGGTGCGTAGTAAGTGGCCTACAAATCTAAATAATAGTCATAATTTATGTAGAACTAGTAACACAATTTTAAATAGTTATGTCATTCCTCTATGTGTCCTGTTCGTAATCTATTTGCTTTAAAATATGCAAAAATAGGTAACTGATGCATAAGATTTGTTCTTTGGTTTATATGCAAGTTGCTGTTTTATAGGATTGCATAGAAGTGCATGTGAAGAGCACAAAAGGACCCATTGATGTATATCTATGTGAGGTGGAACAAGAGAAGGCAGGTGCCAAGCCTTTTGAAGATATGGATACTGTCACTTCTGAAATCAAGCCATCAGTTCCTCCTGATGAAGGTAATGTCTTCCATTTACATTTTTATCCTCACATATTTTAAAAACAGGCATACTATTCTGACAAAGTTGAAAACTCTACTGTACAAGTGTGATGTTCTGGCCATAGTTTGTGGGCTTAAAATATGTGGGAGTATAGGAAATGCCTGAAAGAGAAGTCTATGCTGTTGCGTTACCTCACAGCGGCAGGAGGCCAGAGAGTCAGGCACGTGCACACACAGCAAGGCAGTCATCTTCCCTGACCCTTTCCTTCCTTTGCTCGTTACTGGCTTCCTGTCAGAGCTGCGCTCTGCAGACACAACAGCGTGTATCAGTTCTTAGCTGCGTCGCTGCAGAGTCCAGCAGCTGAAATAGTTGTCGTGAGAGTGAGGGTGCTGTTTCAGACACGCAGAGTGTGCTACCCTTGCTCATTACTTGTCTTGTCTAAGAGAGGGCAGGCAGAAGTGGGGATGTAGTGTTTGATCTCCTAAAACAAGATTGGCTGTAATACAGTCTCCCGAGAGCCCCAGTGCTGCAGGATGTTGTGGTTTAAAAATAAATGTGGCGGGAACTGCAGTAGCACAGGACACAAAGGATAAGTTATTTTTAGCAGTGCTGCTTTATAGCTGAGGGGAGAAGTTGACTTTTTTATCTTAGACTTTTTTTTGCTTTATTTTGCTTGTGAAATGACTCAGAATTATATTTCCTACAATGACAGTAATCATATTCCTTTTTTTACTTTCCTTTCAAAGTGAGATCTCCGGGGGAAGAAAAAAAACAAACCACCTGAGATGACAGATTCATTACAACTCAAAAATCTAATACAGAATGCAAATATCTGTGTTACAGAGCTTTTCCAAAGCCGCTTGGATCTGCAAACTTACTAACCTGAAATGTTCCAAAATGTTTTAAATTTAAAACAGCAGTGGATTGGTTGGTGCTTTCAGAGAATTGCTTATCTTCCCAAGTCGAAAGATGACAGTTCCTAGAGCTGTGTTTAGGAGCTTTGTTTTCTTAATTGCATGTGACCTACAGAGCTTTGGGAAAATGATATTTTTAGTTTATGAAATAATTTTAATTGGTGGAAAACATAGGTAATGAAGTATTTCTAAACATGAAGGTTTGAAAACTATTTCTGGAATGACCCACAATCCTTATGAGAATGTATATAATAAAGAAATGCACTTTTCAGTTCTGAGGCTGCACTAATACTAAGCAGAATTGTCACATACAAATGTAACAAAGAACTGGTGTATCGGAAGCCTTCACTGTAAGGAACAAGATGTAAATATCATGAGGGTTATGCCTTACACTGTGTAGATGCTGTTTGCATTGTTTGCATCCAGCTCTGCATGAACTATGGTATCAACACTGAAGTTAAATAATCAGGCTTTTTGTATATATCTGTATCATGTCTAAGTAGTTACTGATGTAGATTTATTGAGATGGTTTGCATTTCTGCCTTTGTACAGCAAAGAAATAAAATAAGCTTATAAAAATATTAAATAGTCTAATCCATCAGTCCAATGAAACATGTTGGGTTCTCTTTGTTGGAATTCCCTGGTTAACTACAAACATTAATACTGATGTGAACATTTAAAATCGGTTAATACATGGTGCAGGCAGCTAGCAGTTAGATCTGGTTCTTGTGATGCCACAATTCCATAGCAATTTTCAGAAGTAACATGATGATCAATAACTAAATGGGTCCCTTCCAGTTACTAGAGTTTACATACAGCATAGCTTTATCCTAGTACCATGATCTCATTATGGCTTTAGCTTGCAAAAGTACATAAAATACTTTAGAACTACATCTGTATTCATTGATCTTTAGTATCCGTAAAATGAAGCTTCAGAATTTTGATCCTGGGTTTTCAAAGTGAGTTAACTGTCCCTGCACAAATGCCATACTTGGGCTCATTTCACTCCACTCATTTCACACAGTATTGACAATTGTACTTCTTAGTTTTCTGTGTGGGGAGGGGTGGGTGGGTTGGTTGGTTGGTTGGTTGGTTTTTAAATCTATACTTCAAGTCCTTTTCCCACTCACACAGTATCAACTACCCATCTACTCACAAGTGGGAACAACAAAGCTAATAAACACCTGAACATTTTAACCGGAAACGCTACAGCTATTTTAGACAGATGCTGTGAAATTATTAAATGCCCTATATTCTACTAATAAATACAAATAAGGTAGGGCAGTTGACAGTGAAGAGCTTAAATACATCTAAATACAGACTGAGAGTTAACCCATTTTTCTGCAGTGTTCGCTAGTTCTGCAAAATGCATAGTATTATACCACGCGCATTGGGAAACACTCCAAGCGCAAGCTCGTGTCAGGAAGTAATCTTGACTTGTGGACATGCTACCAACTTCCAGCTGCAGAATACAGGACTTCAGTGTTGGCTACTCTTTTTCTGCATCTCTATAAAATGCAAACTACAGGCTGAGCTGTTTCAATAATGAATAAAAATAAAGTGAAAGCACATTTCATGTGTAGATCACAAGAAAAATGGAGAAGGTGCTCCTCCAGTGAAGCTGGGGGTGGGGGTTAAAATTAAGAAATCCTCTTTTTTGCACAAAAAAGTTGTAGGTTGTCTGTTTTCCTTCAGTGGCTGGCTTCTTTCCAGATGGCAAACTTGCTATTTCATTTTTGCATTGCTGTTCTGTTTTAGTGGGGAGCGAGGTCTCTGACGAAGAGAAGTACTGTCCCACTATGGTGGTTTGACAATGTGGGATAATGTTTTCTGTGAAACGCATAAAAATTTCTAGCACCAACAAGTCTTCCTGAACACTTTGCGTTAGGGTGGGATTTTGTTAGGTGATGATACAGAGTTTTGAACTGTAGAGTAAAGAAGTGTACTTTTACAAAATAACCGTCTTATAAATGTTAAGGAAGTCTGTCATCAATAGCAGAACATACTTTATTTGATTGAAATAGGGATTTTTCATTCCAAACAAGTCTAGCGATTCTGTTTTTCCTCTCTCCTTTGTGTGGGTTTTCCAGCGGTAGAATTCATTTTTTAACTTCAAGCTACACAATTATTACAGTGAAATGGGAGAAGCTGTAATATGACAGTTATACTAAAATTATTTTCTTAAATAATTTTTAATGTTTTAGTAATGCACCTTCAGTGGAACAAATGGACTTTTGAAGATTAAACCACTTTGTTGTTGCTACTTGGATACTCACCGTATTACCCACTTGCGGTACTGGAAACAATGTGCTCTCTAAGCTCAGTACGCTAACTACCTGCCAAGGTTAGACTTGGACTTGAGGAAAAGTTACCAAATGATGCTGAACTTAAATAAAGGTTACAAGCTCACTTAAAAAGTAAATGTGATAGGATCTTACTCTGCATTTGTATAATAACACTTGATTTTTTTTCTGAAAGGTTATTAAGATTGAAGTATTTTCATTGAGTCCGTATGTGTCTGTTTGCAGCATATTTGTACGTGTAAGCACTTCCCTCGGCTATTTGAGGACTCTGCCTGTAATAAATTAAAAAGCTCTAATAATGGTTTTGTCTTTCATTCAATAAGAATGGCTGAGCACCTAAACGCATTAATCAGTGATAGCAGCAGCCAGGATCCGTAATTATAAAAAGGCCGGGTTTTGCTGACTCTGTAACTGGAACAAACGCCGCAAGTTGCCAGTTCAGCCCTTATTTGGTACGGGACATCACTCGTGAGAGTGTTCAGATGTGAACTGCAGTTTTTAAATAATGTGATTTGTAAAGAAGAGAGCAGATTGCTTTAAATTACTATCTCTCGGAAAGCGCTTAAAAGATGGCCAATTCCCTCGTTTTGAATAATCTTTCTGTTGTGTGTGAAGAGCCTCATTTATAAGCATAATTAAATTACACTGATTTCAAAAGTCACCTTAGCTCTCGCAGTTTTCGGTGGGGCAGCCGGCCCCGAGCCCTTTACGGCCGCGTGCGTCCCACGGCCTCGGTGTTCAGGCTGGCCCGGCCACGGCGCTGGGACCTCCGTAGCTGCGGAAGTGTTTACCCGGGGCCGTCCTCTGCTGTTTTTGGTTCCACTTCTGATCCGCCAAGGGTAATTTGTGAGAGGTGTGTTGAGGCTAAAGACACATAAAATCATAGTCGGTGGTGCGCAGTCGATACAAATCTACACGAGGCTTCTGACACGGATGTTTAGTGAAGGATTGGGATACTCGTTTGCAAAAAAACGTGGCGTATGTTTGGAAGGAAATCTTAACGACGTCTGGAGAGGAAGAAGAGGAAGAAGTTCTCTCCAGGTACCTATCATCTCATCGGTGGTTCTGCCCTTCCTTTCGCCCCACCGCAGTCTGGTGGTGGGCTCCGTCCCCAAGGCCCGCAGCCGTGCTGT